TATTGTTTTTAATCATATCAGCAAAAATTTTGTTTACAAATCTTTGAAACGTCGAAGGCGCGTTTTTCAAACCAAACGGCATTCTTAAAAATTCGTATTTACCTAACGGTGTAACAAAAGCTGTGTATTTAACAGCTTCTTTATCCATATACACATGAAAAAACCCATTTTTCAAATCCAATTTCGTAAACCATTTTTTGTTACCTAACTTGTCCAATAAATCATCTATCAAGGGCATTGGATAATTATCTTTTAATGTTACTTTGTTTAATGTACGATAATCGACACACATTCTTAATTCGCCTGTCTTTTTCTTCACTAACACAATTGGTGAAGAAAATTCTGACTCACTTTCCTTAATAATACCTTTGGACGTATAGTCATCTAACATTTTTTGTAACTCATCTTTTTCTGTATATGCAAGTCTTCTTGGGGAGTAATTAAATGGTTTAACATTATCTAAACTGATCTTCATTTCACACTTTATCTCGGGTTCTTTTGGACGCACTGGTGTCAGATAACATTTAGTAAATAACTCTTCTAACGACACTTTTGTTTTAAATGACACTTCTGGACCAATATTACATTTTTCTTTATGTTCATCATTTATATCGATTGCTAAAATACTTTCTTCAAAAGTTTTTGCATCGTCACAATTACTGTCATCACTTAATTTTATATTTTTTTGATATTTAAATCTACTGTTTTCTTTTGGCTGATCTTTACAACAATTTTTCCATATTATCTTTGCATTGCTTTTTCTTAAAAAATCTCTACCTAAGACTGCTTGGCTGCCCATAGAATCATCAGCAACTACATAAAATTTAATCATTACATTTTTTTTATTCAAAAATATCAAACAACTTATTTCTCCAACTATTTTTAATTTACTTTTATTAAGGCCAAAATATTCTACATTCGAAATTTCATTTAACTTTACCGCTTCCGGTACACAACATTTTTTCAAAAAACTAATTGGGCTGCCAGAGTCTATTAGGCATTCTAGAAATAAGGATACTTTATATAAGCCTATAATTGACATACGAAAATACCTTACATAATTATTTTGTTGTTCGTTGGCGTTGAATTTTTTACTGGGACAGACTGCAACCCGGTGTTCCAAACTACCGCATCCATAGCAAGCTCCGAATGGACGTTTCGGTTGACGACACTCAGCGGCAACATGCCCAGTATTACTGCAGTTAAAACATCTTAAGCCTTGCTTTACACGCCTTTCATTCGTCGACACTGTCCTAGCAGTATTTTGATTAACATCGCCAAACGCTGCTACCAATTTTTCTTTTGATTTGAACTGCTGCATTTTTGCAAGCATACGCAGTTGTGGATCACGTATTCCATCAACAATGTATTCAACTAACTCTTCTTCCGACATATTTATCAGTAATGATAAAACAATTTTATCGTTGTAATAATCAACAAATTTTTCATCATCGGACCACAAACGTGTTTCAAATTTGCGACGCAATTGAACAATACTCTCTTTTGAGCCAAATACGGAAATCATTTGTTCGATCAATATTTTACTGCTTTGTGTAAGAACATTTGGTGTAGAGTGGAGCCAATTTTGTACTCTACCTTTTGCTTTCGTTATAATAAGTGTTCGAACTACATTGTCTTCTAATTCGTAAGCTTTTTCTAACGCTTCAAGTTGCGTAACCCAAACATTAAAATTGTTACCATCGCATTCCGGTAAAAATTCTTTTAATATTATGAGCGGTACTTCTTTTCTTTGTACTGAATGTTTACATTCGCTTAAACTCGAAGTGTTTAATTGTAATTGAGTCATTTTCTTTGTCAATTCATTCTCTTTTTTAAACAGATCACGCTCTTTCTTAAGCAACTCAATTTCTTTTTGCATGAGTTGCATTTTTTTTATTTCTTCTTCTCTAATAGTAGTTTCTCTTTGCATTTTTGCTTCCTCTGTTTCTTTGTTATTCACTTCCTCCCTTACAATTTGATTTCGCTCGTTACTCACAATTTCACAATTTTGTACAACAGACTGCTCAACTGCTTCATCACATTCTGGCGTCACTGTTTTTTTTATGCTCATCGGCGCACACTCACTGCGAATATGCTGTGGCACTTTTGTTAAACGCGCAATCAACTGCGTTTTGTTTCCACTTACTTGCAACTTCAATTTTGTCAGCCAATTTTTTAGCTCCTCCACCGTTAGATCATCAAAACATAAAACGTCAGCTATGCCATCCATTCTTCACAGTTTTATATAAAAATTTTATATATATATATTTTATTACACACGGGCTTTAAAAAAAAATTTTTTTTTTTTTTTACTTGATCCCACTTCTGAATTTTAGTAGAAACAACCAACATCTACTTTGTTCGACGGTCGTCACGCAACTGTCTCTTTTATTATTCTTTCTCTTAATTCTACCTTAGTTTACATGTGTATGCTTAATTCTATCTTATGACTACAATACTTATATACTATCATACATCTACAATACTTATACTACTACAGTATATATGAATGAACTTAGCTGATTAGTACTCTTTAATAGAAGTTAGTATACATTGCCAACTAAGCACACCGATACCTACTTTTATCGGCATGCTTGAGACATATTCATTTCATAGGTCTATCGGTCTATCCAATTATTTAACTGAGTAACCTTGCGTTCGAGGTCAAGTCACATTTTTAACAGTATATGTATGAAATACTTTCTTCACGAGAAATTAAATACCATATGTACTTTCTGCTCATAATTTATTAAAAAATATATTGAAAAAGATTCCATTAGACTCTTGTAATTCTGTAATGTTTATGTAAAATTACATGACTATAACTATTACATTTTATATGTCTGTTTGCTTCGATGACATTTTAGTGAAAACAAGATGCAGAGTTCGACATCGCTCATTCTATTCTATTCGGGTAATTCACTGATTCATTCATTCACTAAGATCTTCGAGATGGTTACTTCCGCGTTAGTTCTTCAAAGTAAGTTGTGAATTGATGGTTAATTATTGCTATATTAATATAAGTAAAAATTGGTATTTAAAGATCAGTTAAAGACGGAATCGTAGATGTGTGAAATAAAAATATGAATATATTCTAAATACATTTTGTTCATTTATAAAAATTAATCAATTCATTTTTAGAACCTTCTCCAAATACTTACTACTATTAACACTAATAAATGATAACACTAATATACTTTTAATATCAAAACATAATTAGTTAAATTATAATTCTAATTATCTGGTGTACATCGACTACATTGAGTTTTATTGATTCAGGGCATTCTCCTAAGTGAGATTTCATTTAAATAAATGACTGTCTCATGCCTACTTTACTTAAAATACGATTTTATGTTAGACAAAATTTATCCGATTAAGATAATAAGAATTATTTAAAACATATGCACAAAAATAGACGAAATTCATAGCAACTTATTGGTAGCTACAAAATATTAGATAATACTAATACTTTATACAGTAACAGTACAGTTTACATTAAATTAGTGGATCTAGGAGAGGTCTCAACATAAACAATTTACTTCTTCTTCATATGGAATATGCTAAAAAAGAAATTGAAAGGAAATATTAATAAGTACTATCTCTGCAAAGAATATCCTCAAAACGGAATGCGATGTGTTTGTAGAAGCTATAAGCTCAATTGTCTTATTTGCACTCTCGTTATTTATAAGATAACTTATCAGAGATATGAAGATGTCCATAATATTATCCGCTGAGAGGTAAACATTATAAGTACTTATATAACTAACCTTATAATAATTGTATTCATGAGAAAAAGAAATGAGATCGTTCAATGGATATAATGTTGATTAAGTTCAATTTCATGCAGAAAGTTTCCATGAAGACAGAAGATAGCTAATCTAGTCCTATTTGCACTAACTATGCAACATAGTTATAACACAGCATAAATTAAGTATATTTTATGAAGAAATTAAGAACGACTATAATCTGAGACTACTGCGAAGATGAGGTACCTATTTTTGAAAGCAGCGCTCTAGCTTGGTTTGCAACCACACTTTCTGACAATTATACGGTAGAATTTGATATATGACAGACACTATGATAATGGAAATTTTTAAATTGACTGAGTTTTGTCAATAATTAAGAGAGAGAAATAAGACTACTTCTATTTAGAACCTAAACACAATGGTAACGTTTTAGGAAATTAAAGACTGTGCATTGGTTATGAAGTGATATAAAAAATGTGAGTAATGTGAGCAATTTTTGTTAGTACTTTAAGAATCATTGGATCTCTTATTGTTTTCATTTTTTTTTAATGTAATAAATTAGATGTGGTGATAACTGAGACTTTGGTTTATTCATAATTTCAATTTTTTCATGCTTCTATTATCCAGTAAGGGGAGCTCATTAAATAAGATTTCTTCCTTTCGGATATCACTTATATATGAAGCTTATTTATTAATGTCTAAATAAAATTCGTCTGACATTGATCAATCTGCTATCGGGACCTCTTATCTAGTCTTATTGTATTTATAACCACACAATTGTATTCATTACCGATATAAAAAAATTTTTAAAAAAAAACTCCACATCGGTTTCATGTTATTTAGAAAAATTATTTTGACTCTCCAATAAAGGCTTGTAGTACGAGTAATCTAATAACATCCAGAAATACTTAAAATATTTATTATTTCTGAAATCTTGTTGTAACATATTGACTATTTAACTACCCCAATTTTCGTTTGTGATTGCAAAGACCTATTTCACACTTCTGGATTCCATCAAATAAAGTTTATGGTTCTGTATCCACACAATTAATGAAAAATGAACCAGGCTCGATAATAATTACGGTACCAAATATTTTTATTTAAAAAATATATTTCTTTTGTTGCTTAAAACTAATTTAATTGTAATATAAAATTGGTTATAAGGATTATAATGACGTTGAATGTTAAGGTCCTTTCCTCATTTTTTAACATATGAAGATTGTTGAAAATACTGGGCTTACGGTTTTTGTCACTATTCCAATTTTCATACATATTATAAGTTTCTCTTCAATGCCTTGGACTATACTGGGCTATAGCACTAGCAAATAGAAAACACCCACCCACACTAAGAAAATCTGATATTGTGTACGACCATATGGTACATTTCTGTGATTGGAAACCCGGTTAATTCATTTTGTGAACTCTAAGACGTTGAGTTGTTTACTGGCACCGTCGAATTTCATAAAATGTTGTTTTAAACTTTCTTTGTGACACATGTCTGGACTTCTGCCTAATAACTTTGTCTTGCCATTATACGCAGGTCAAACATTTCTAGTATATTTCTAAGAACAGCAGCAATCCCAACTTTATCCTTAAAGTAGAAGTAAATGTTATTACATTCCTGATCTCTAAGTATATTTGAATATATTAAATGTGTACTTTTTCCTGATAGTGTCCAGAACAATCTCTCTTGGAGATTAGGTTGTTTAAATATACCTTATGTATTCTTTAATTTAAGTAATTTGATACATTTTAAGTTGGAAACGGTGGATTACTTTCACTACTTAAAGGCATACTACATTCCATAAACGAAATGGAAAAAATTAATTGATTTCGATTTTTTGAATTCTGCACCCAATCAGCCATTGGGCAACTCATCAGTTCTGCACTTGATTGTGTCGACATTTCCCGAAAGAGCTACATTTAAATTAAAATTTGAAATTAATTTAATTTTAAGTCACATTTAATTTCTTATGAGTATAATTAATTTTTAGATTGCTTCAGGACTACACATATTTCGTAGAGTGTGTGAAAAAGTAAGTGAACGCTCTCCGAAAGGATTTTATTATAGATTCTTCTCGATATATGGTCTATTTACTTGAGTGAGTTGTCTACAGTTGTGTTAAATTTGATTGAATTCTTGATGAATATATAATATCTGTGATAATTTTTGTGTTACTTACCAGTATCAGAACCATTTCATCGAGAAGATTTTGCAAGTCTTAAAAATTGGTATGTTGCTTATAATTATATACTCCAACCTCGTGACTTTTTGTAATATCATTTCCAGGTCGATTTTGCTTGCAGCATCTGATTTGATAGTGAGACGACTTTCTCTTTTCTGTCCCCAAATCAATTAAAACAATTTATATATCAAATTTTTATAGTTGGGTCTTCAAACACTTTTCTAATTTTAATTTTAATAAGATATGGTAATTGAGCATAAAGAATTTCTCTCCATGTTGCTGTCTAGAGGTTAAACTCGCACTTGAAAAATATATCAATGATGATTTTAACTGAATAGGTGAGATCACAATTATACTATACCTGTGCTGTATATCTGTATACCTGTTTGTGTTTGGTTTGTATTTACCATATTTCCTAAGCTATAGATAGGAACAATTATAAAAATAAGTTGTAAGATTAGTAAACGCCCCCATCGACTTTTGAAAACTTTGCTTACTGGATTTTTCCATGCTTATAGAGAATTTTAGCCTTCTCCGAATCCACCTCTAAATTATTTTTATTGCTAATCGTATTAGTGTGTGTTACATTTCAAAAGATTTTCATGATCTGTGATTTCTGTTTTATACGTTGAAGGCTTTAAATATAACCCTTTTGCAAAAAAAAGAAAATGACTTACCTTGTAGAAATGTGCACTTATCTTTCTTTTTAGTAATTGTGTAGCATTTATTGCAATCTTACATGATTCAATTGGAGGCGAGCAAGTGTTTAAGGCTTCACAGTAGCAGTTTCTTCCAGACTCAGAAACTCTACCGGGTTGTAGGCTGTGTCATGTGTCTTTTATTTGTGCTTGTATGGTTGTGATGTTCTGCTTAAGTGGTTCGTAGCTCACCCTTCCACAAAATACCACTTAAAAACTTGTGGATCTTATTTCTATAGTTCTTACCATTTTTTTCAAAACCGAACCTTTTTCTTTTTCCTTTTTTTGCGATTTTCTTCCATTTCCTGTGAAATTAAAATTGTAAGCAAATAAGTTTTATATCTTTATTATCTTAAATTACAGCTTCACGTAAGATCTCCAACCCTGTTCGACCTCGGGAGCTTTTAATGGAAGTAAATTCAGCTCTAAATATTTTTCTTGTTATAGTTTTGACTTTATGAACCTTATGGGACTTACGTTTCCTTACAACACGCATTTTTTTTTAATGAACTAAAAATTTTGACCTTACTTTTGACAAAAATAATATAACTGAAATCTATAGTTTTTTATTTAACATTTAATTTTTCAATTAAACTAAGCTAACTTATAAATTTTTTTTTTAAAATCTAAAATACTGTTATGAGGGTTTTGAGAATTTTAATAGCAAAATGAAAACATGTGTTTAAAGTACTATAGAGTCTACTAATTAGACACATACCTTTTAACATAGTATTGTGTAGTTTTTCAGGGTTTAATAAACAATTGTGACAAGACCTCCACGTCAAAATAATTTAAGAACGCTAGTAATTGTCTTGACAATTAAAATAAATATTCACACATGAAAAGATTACTATAGAAATACTTTTCACGTTCATATAATATTGTGCAAGCATATAACATAGTATTTATTTCTAGTTATATGTCTGAACTATTTAGGCATTGAAGTGCAGACTACTATGACATGCTACAACAATTGACAAGCAAGGACAGTATAGTACTCCATTGAATGCCTGGTCACATTGGAATCAAATGGATTGTGTCAACGATCAATAACACGCAGTCTTATATGAACTAAATCAGTTATTCAATTCTGTGGATCAGATCCTTATTGAGTCTCATTAGCAACTCTCTAATGTGAAACTGAAATGAGTTAACATTGGTGTGACACTCCAAATAATCAGCAAATTAAAGACCTGATTTGTCTCCACTTCTCGTAGTAAGATGTTCCTTCCCGCAAAAAGAGAGCTTAGTCTATTCCTAGGTTATCTGATGAGTTGGAATGGCAAACGTTAATATTTTAATAAGATGGCCCTCTCTTGAAACACAGATTATCGACTGTGCTGGAAAGCAGATACAACATTTAGGCTCAGTCTTTATGACATATAGTACTGTCTTTTATAAAAGCCAAGAACAAAACACATGGAAGAAAATTCTCATCATCGTCGGCATTATGATATCATGATATCTTAAACAAGTGCAATTTTTCTTTTCATTCAAAAGACTGAGAGTCAAAAGACTTCTGTTTATAACAGTTGGTTTGTGTTCTGTTGGGAACCTGTACCTTATCAATTTTTGTTTTCTAAATCCAGGTTTAAACGATTGAAGTGTTACCAACTGCACACAGGTGTATCTGTCAAACTGATATTGTCTACTACGTGAAACTGATACGAATGACAGCTTTTTATATTGTTTACTACCAGCCACAAGCATTTGCGTCTAAGTATTATAGAACAAAAGTAGACGAAATGGAACTCAAACGTAGTTTAATTGCGTTATATTTAGCTGGAAAATCTATGTGAACCACGAACCATTCGAACCAAAAAATCATGTTCAACACTTCATTTCGTTCACACAATGAGAAGGGCTAAAAAATATACCAGTATGAATGCGTTGAATAAATTCATTGTTCAGGAATGGGCTAGAATACCGAAAGATCACCTCAAGTCACTTTAAGTTAGGGTAAAGGTAGGGTAAATGGATAAATAAAAAATTATTTCATACAGAAAAGATATGGTCTTCATTCGCAGTATGGGCTATGGCGACTATGTCATTGTTTCAATATTAATAAAATTGTTAAAAGATACACCGATTATATCAACGCTGCAATTCAACCACACTTCTTTTAGATACATGCAATCTTCCGAGAAAACATCATTCTTCCCTATTATAAACTGCAGAACATATACACCAGCTCATAAGTTGAAACGTGCTAGTTGAGTTTGTTTGCGTACCTGAAAAAACTTCATTATAGAAAGAAACGCCCTATAGCGAGGTTAAAATATATATGCACTTTTTAAATGCATATCTCTAGCCTGTCCGTCATCATATCCAATCGGTTGCTTTGCATTTCATTTCCGAGAAAATTGGTCGCCATTACATTGGTAGACATTGTAACGACACACTTTCTGTCGCTGATGATGCTGAGGTATACTCAGCCGTCGTCCAGGGGTCGTTGCAATAGAATTTTTATTTTGGAAGTCAAAGACAATGTGATGTAGTAATTCAATTATTTATTTAGGAGAATTTAAAATAAAATAAGGTTTTACAATCTAATTAATTATAATATAATGCTGGTTTGCTAATTTGATGATTACGATTATGTGGAATAATTGTGCTTCGATGATTGTTCCGATTGTTGTTTCCACGTGCCTGAAATGTTGCTGTCAGACGACACTACTTGTGCTAATCTTGGTGTTTTGTCAGAAGACGTCGTTATCTAAAGATTAGAAGTGTTATGCTGGGTTACAGCCTTGGTTAGCATTAATGTTAGGACGTATTACTACCCTAACTCAAACCTACAGAAAATTCTACTAGTCAAGATGTATCATGACTACCTTGGCTTGATTTACATATAAGACTACATATACAATCTACTTGTCAAGACGTATATACTACCTTAACACTATAGTTCTACTGACTTGTTTCGCAAAGACGTATTACTACCTTTGAGAGTTTCCCAACAAGTGCCCTTGCTTGTACAATGCGCGTTTATTTATACTCAAATGACCGAAGCTTTTCCTGTAGCGCATCGGTACATTTGCCGTTGGTATTTTTGATACTTGTTGTCTTTTGCTGCTGTTGTTCGCCTGGGTGTAATTTCTGTGCTTTGTGTTTTCGTGTGTTCTTAAATTCGCCGTGCTTTGTATTTAGTTCAACCAAAGCTTTCACGCTTTGACATTTCTTGTTTGTTTACAAACGTGTTTATGCCGGTGTTTGTGATTTATTATTTATTAATAAATTTATTTATTTATAAATATTTATTATTATTAAATATTTATATTAAATAAATATTACAAATATTAAAGGTGAGTGTATTATTTATTTGTTTAAATATATTTTATATTACTTGCATTTTCAATGTAATCTTAGGTTTGTTCATTTGGTGCAATTACGTGCATGCGGGGGTGGGTTTATGGTAAGTTGTTTACGTTTTAAATTTACAATAAAAATTAACCAGTTTTCATCGTAGATATTAACTCCACAGTGATTGTATGTAGGTTGGAAATTAGTTAAAATTTCCATCCTTACATTTCCCTCCTTCTTCGGGAAAGTGAACTATGACGGGACGCGCTACCTGTTAGCATGGTTTCTGTTCCGTTTCTTTGGACTTTTGAATATTTTATAGAATTTGTCTTGGTCTGTAGTATTCTGATCGTAATCCTGTTGAAGTTTACTTCGGCCTTTCACTTGTCGTTGCTGATTTTGCGAACTGGATTGTTCCTGCGGTATAAGACAATATTTTTCGACTTGATTTAATAATCGGTTTACTTTTTTATTCAGATGGGAAGAACCAACTTTATCTAGATGTGATTGCAGTAGTTGTTCTTGTTGAATGGTGCCTTTCGCCAAAACTTTTTGTGTAATTGGTAATAGCTGCTGCGATGATTTACTTATACTTTGTGTTTCTTGAATATTTTGAGCTTCTCTTGCAGTAATTTCTATGATTATATCGTTTTGTTGACCTTGTTGTGGTAGGATGTCTTGTACCTGCTGTCGTGGAATTAGCGAGGTTTCTCTTGGTGTTGATTCATGAGGTACGGATTCTGATGAGATTCCTACCAATTCTGTCGATGATGTAATCGGATGTTCTTCGTGCACCTGTAGCTCTCGTGATTGTTGTACATCTTGTATTTGCCATTGTACGTTTTCTTGATCTTGCGTAGAATATGTATTGATAATTCGATGTTTACTAAGTCCTTGATTATTTTCTTCGATAGGCGTAACCCGTTGCGATTCTTGCTGTGGTTGTATTTCATACACTTGAACTTGTTCTTGTATAACTCGGGTTGGATAAAATACTTCTGGATTTTCTTTAATCGACATAAGGCGCTGCAATTCTTGTGGTGGAGGTATGGGACATTTACATGGCGTTTGTGAAATTTCTCGTAGTGGTATCGGATGCTGTTCTAGATAATTTCGATCCTGCATGTTTCGCTTTGTTGTACGTAGGTTGGACTGATTCTGTTCCTGTTTGCTCTGCTTTTTTCGTTGGACATGTGACTCGAATTTTAAACTACATTAAGACTGAAAAGTTTTCGGAAATTCTCATTTAAAATTCGCGCGCTGTATATTTTTCGATATTTTAAGTTTATGTAGTTTGGCAGCACTGTCCTTAATTACTATGCCAAAAATGAGCGCGATCTGTCAGACAGTTCGTTTACGGCAGCTTGTGAAACCAGTTCACCTCAGTAGTGCGTTGCGAAATGTCTTCGACGGTCGTACGACCGTCCTGAAAGGCTTTGTACCACTCATAAACTTGAGTTTTCGATAAAACTGATTCCCCATAAGCCTTTTGTAGCATTCGCAACGATTCTGCACACGAAATTTCGTTCGAAACACAAAATTTGATGCAAACTCTTTGTTAAATATTTTTTTCCATTGTTTTTTTCGCAACGCACTACTGAGGTAAACTGGTTTCAACAGCTGCCGTAAACGAACTGTCTGACAGATCGCGCTCATTTTTGGCATAGTAATTGTCCTTAATTGCTGCCAAACTACATAAACTTAAAATATCGAAAAATATACAGCGCGCGAATTTTAAATGAGAATTTCCGAAAACTTTTCGGTCTTAATGTATGTGTAACATTCTTCGGTATTTTCCTAGGTTGCGCTTGCATCATAGTATCATGCAATGGAATTGCTTGTTCATCTTCAACTACCAACTGCCTGATACTCGTTTCTTGTCCATGGCTTTGACTTGCTTTGTTCTGCTCTGTTCGAAGTGCTTCGAAGTCACCAACTACTGTTATTAATTCATCTAAAGTTTCGAAATCTCCTCGTCTGACGTACCTTTGGTAATCAGTGCTCATATTGCGATATATACGTTCCAGTTGCGACTCTTGAATAATACAGGCTCGTCGCATTAGAGTTTTGATGTCAATTAAATAATCTCTAAAACTTTCTTTTGATTTTTGAAGACGTACTCGAACCTCGTTCTCTAGTTTATCAATGTATCTGGAGGATATAAAGTACTTTAAAAAATCAACCTTGAAACTTGTCCAGAGCTGCCAACGACAATTGTTGTTGCGATACCATG